ATCTTATCAGATCATAACAGAATAAAATTGGAAATGGGCAGCAAAAAAACTATAGAAAATGCACAAATAGATAGATAGTAAACAACTACACCATAAAAAAAAATAGGAAAAATTGAAAATTCATAGGATCAACCAGGCATGGGCTCAGCCACTTAACAAGATCATGGTTCAAGGTCCATCCTGAGCAAAAAGTTAGTGAAACCCATCTAGACAAATAGTAAAAGTATGCTAGTACAACTGTAATCCCAGCAACATGGGAAGGATAGGTAGAAGAATCATGGTCTGAGACTTGCCCAGGCAAAAAATGCAAAACTCTATGTAAAAAAAAACTAAAGCAAAAAAGGTTAGGGACATGATTTAAATAGTTGAGTGAAATAAAATAAAAATGAAAACCCAACTTACCAGATCTGTTGGATACAGCGATGCCAGATCTAAGTGGGAACTTTGTAGCTCTGGAGCCCTACATTTCAAATTCAGAGAGTTCTCAAATAAATAACATGATGACACCACTTCAGGTCAGAGAAAAACAAGAATAAACCAAGCTCAAAAAAAGAAGGAAAGAATTAATAAAGATCAGAGTTGAAATTAATGAAAAAGAAACAAAAAGGACAACACTAAAAAGGAATAGTGAAAAAAAGATCTGGTTCTTTGAAAAGATAAATAATATTGACAAACCCTTAGCTAAACTAACCAAGAGAGAGAGAAAATCCAAATTAATAAAATTAGAGATGAACACAAGGATATTCCAACAGATACTGCTGAAATCAATAGAAACATCAGAGAATAACTGGAAGATTGTGCTCCAGTAAACTGGAAAAAATCTAAAGGATATGGATAAATTTCCAGACACATAGACCTACCAAAATCGAGCAAGAGGATACAAAGAATTTTAGCAGACCAATAATGAGCAATGAGATTGAAGCAGGAATAAAATTATTCCAACGACAAAGACAAAACCTAAAAGTCCAGAAAAATTCACTGTTGAATTTTATGAGAACTTTTAAAAGAACTAAGACCAATAGTCTTTAAGATAGTCTGTGAAATAGAAAGACAAGGAATCCTTCCAAATTCATTTTACAAAGCCAGTATAAACACGATACCAAAAACAGGAACAGACGCATACATACACAAAGAAAACTATACACCAAATTTCTTGGTGAACATACATGCAAACCTCTCAATAAAATACTTGCAAACTCAATTGAGCAACATATTTAAAAGACTATACCCCTTTTAGAAGTTGGTTTCATTACAGGAACATAAGGTTTGTTCAATAATGCAAAGAGATGAATGCAATATTGCACTTAAATAGAATCAAGAGCAAAAATCACCTGATCTCAACTGATACAGAAAAAGCCTTTGAAAGCATTCAACATTGCTTTGTGATAAAGGCATGGATGTTACTAGGAATAGAAGAATCATGTCTCAATATAATAAATATTGTACATGACTAACTAATACCCAACATTATACTAAAATCATTTCAGTATATGGGGAAAACCTGAAACCATTTCCTCTGAAACATGGAATGAAACGTGTACCCTCTCATCACTCTTATTCAATACAGTGCTTGTAGTATGAGCCAAGGCAATTAATCAAAAAAGAAATGACAAAGATTATTCTGATGTGCATTTGATATGATCCTATACTTAAAAGACCCTAATGACCAGAAGATTACATTTCATAACCAACACACAAACATCAGTAACTTTTGTATATATCAATAATGAACAAGCTGAGAAATAAATCAGGAAAATAATCACATAGTAAAAGCCTTAAAAATAGCTAAGAATGAATTTTATCAAGGAGAAAACATCTTAAAATCTATAAAATATTGAAAAAAGAAATTACAGAATATAATAGAAAATGGCAAGAACTTTTATGCTCATGGACCAGAAGAATTAATATTGTGAAAATGATCAGAATACTTAAAAGGATATTCATTGCAATCATCAAAACTCTAATGACCTTCACAGAACTAAAATAAACAATCCTAAAATTCATAGGGAAGTAGAACAGAACCTGAATGGCCAAAGAAATCCTGAGCAAAAACAGCAACACTGAGGTTCACAGTATCTGATCATAAATTTTACTACTGAGCCATAGTAACAAAACAGCATGGTACTGTCACAGTCAAGCAAAACCAATAGTATAGAACAGAGGACCCAGAAATATGCACATGTTACTATAGTAATCTAATTATCAACAAAGGACCAAACACATGGTCCTTTTATTTGTTAAAGATAGCCTATTTAACAAATAATACTAGGAACACTTAATATTCACATTCAGGAAATTGAAATTGCATATCTGCCTACCTGTACCCTGAACAAAAATCAACTCAATGGATCAAAGACCTTAAGGTAAGATGTGCAACTTTGAAACTTCTAGTGGAAATCATGGAAACATTCAAAGACATAGATGTAGAAAATGGATCTATGAATAGGACTCCAATAGCTCAGGACATAATAGCAAAAATGGACAAATGGGATTGCATTAAATTAATGAGTTTCTGCACAGCAAAGGAAAAAATTAAGAGAATTAAGAGGAAAACTAGTGAATGGAAAACAAAATCTTTGCCAGCTATTTATCCTACAGGGAAATTAATATCCATAATATATAAAGAACTCAAAAATTTAAACAGCAAAAGAAAAAAGTAATCCAATCAACAAATGGGCAAATGAACTGAATAATTACCCAAAGAAGAAGTATAAATGATCAATAAATACATTTTAAAAATCCACCTCTTTAGTCATTAGGGAAATTAAAATCAAAACAACATTGGCAGTCAATCTCACCACAATCAGAATGACTATCATAAAAACAAAAATAAATGTTGGTGAGGAATCAAGGAAAAACTGAAAAAAAGGAACACATACACTGATGGTGAAATGCAATTTAGTGCAGCCATTGTGGAAATCAGTATGGAAGTTCCTCTAAGAACAAAAATAAAACAACTATATGATCCAACTATACAACTCTTGACACACACACATGTCCAAAGACATCAAAGTCAGCATACAGTAGAGATACATGTATATCGTGTTACAGTTGGCACTATTCACAATAGCCAAATTATAGAATCAGCCTATGTGCCCAACAACAGATAAATGGAGATAGATTAGATAGATTATGATGATAGATAGAGGATAGATGGAAGGGAGGAAGGAAAGAAAGAAAAGAACAAAAGAAAGATATATGTATAATTCAACCATAAAGAAGAATGAAATATTGTCATTTGCACAAAAATGGATGGAACTGGAGATCATAATATGAAGTGAAATAAGCCAGACTCAGAAAAGCGTCACATGCTTTCTCATGTTTGGAATCTAGAAAAAAAATGACATGAAAGGAGAAGAGAGACTACTAAGCAATCAAAGGGAGATGGGGGAGGGAGAATAAGAGAAGGAAATGGAGTGGTGACTCTGATCAAAATACATTACATGAATGCATGAAAAGATCACAAGTAAACCCATTGCTTTGTACAATTAACACACAGAAATAAGAACTTAAAAAAGAAATATGATTTGTTGTTGAATATAAGATGATGAAAAATTTAGGTACTATATTATAAAAATTCTGAAGTATGAATCTCCCAAATTTTATTTATTTGTATACTAGCTTACCTAGACTAATTCAGTGGAGTTTGTTTCTACCAAAGTGTATTGATTTTGATGCCACTGTTCAGTTTTTACCTCTTATTTTTACTTTATAGTCTCACTTCCTAGGAGTCATCCTACTATCAGCATATCTTAGGGTTTAACGAATAAATGGTCAGAGGTACTTAAGTGTGCTATGTTTTGCCATTTGACCCTTTCAGAGTTTGGGAAAGGCCTTCAAAATTCAAGACAGTTTATGAGTTTGTTTCACATTTAATGAAGTAAAGTTCCCAGAGTCCTCTCTGACTTCTCTTACTGGGGACAGCCATCTATATATCCATTAGTTTCCGGATCTCTATAGACAAAGTTTATCTTAGTAGAACATTTTCTGGTTCTCTTTCTCCAAGTTTCCCTGTTAATTTTGTTGATTTCCCCGACTGGTATTTGTACCTAGATACTATACCACTGCAACCTCTTTGCACACCACAGTGTTTTGGGTGTGAAATTTCTAAGCTATAAAGTCGTTCTTTCCTGCAGGGAACAGAGCTGTGTGTTCACATGACTGCATGCCCACTTAGGGGAAAAATCCTGAACCATGAAATTAGACTGAGAGACAGAAGTACATCAAAGTAGCCACTCTTCTTGACTGAGATTCATGGAGACTTTTTAATAAAACTTCTCAACATCAGGGTCTTTAGCTACTTTCCAGAAACTATATAAATGGTTGCATATTTTGTAAAATTTTATCCAGATTTATCATGCCTTTTCAGAGAGAAGAGAATTTATCAATTTTCCTCAAATAGCCTTTTTTGAAGTCTCACCTTAATGGAATGAATTTGAAATATAATTTCTTAGTTAAAATATTTTAGTAAGCATTACTTGACAAAATTCTTCTTGTTTAGCTTTTTAAAATATATACAAAATATAAAAACTACTTAGAAGGAACCTAATTATTACTGCCATTTTTTAACAGAAATTTACAACTATAAGTGATGTTGTTATAATGACATGAGGGTCGGTGGCTGATGCTTACTTTTCAAAACAGCTGTCCGCCAGTATAGAAAGAAGGCAAGGACAGATTTTTTTAAAAATTTTTTCTCCATGGTCCATTTCTGAATATTATGTCCTCAGAGTCTCAGTTACTGGCACTAGGAAGTTCAATGGCTAGAACTATCAAATGATGATTTCAGAGTATTAATGTGAAAACACAGATTAAACACTGTTTAGCTATTACACCCTTCCATCTTTGAACTTTGATATTTACCCAAAGAAATTCACTAAACCAGCTTCCCAGCAATGCACTGAAATTCGGTCACACTCATTATGGTCAATGACAGCAGATTCCAAGTAACAAGACAGTTCTGGTGCATTTTTAGATATCCAAGATTGGAATTAACTAACATGTTTCTCTCAATCAATGTCATTCTAATGTTATGGGTTTCCACTGTTGGAGGAGAAGGTAAGTTGAAACCAGATTTGAGTATTTACTGTCTTACTGAGATGTGCTCATTAGTTGTATGTAAGCATATTGTTAAAACAAAAAAACATTGAGAACAATTTGGATGAGGAATCATAGTATTTATCTATTTTAATGGAAATAAAGAAATTATGTTTTCTTCTTTCTCTAAATTCCAAAGTGTGAAATTCTACTAAATGTAAAATTGGAAAATAAATATAGATTAAGAAAACTATAAATAATGAAAGTGACAGTGTAAAGTACTAGTGTAACTCTCCTTAAATTGTGCATGTGGTGGACCAGAAAACATCCCCTGACATGAGCATATACCTTCAGAATTTCACAGATTAGTTAATTCTAAACATTAAACATATTAGAATGAGAGATTTATCATTTCAATCTAGTTATCATTTAACACCTAGAAATATCTCTTAATTAAACAGGAATAAAGACAGAGCATATTCCTATTTTTGCTTGTAAACCAGATAAATGCAAATATATAATTTTTTCTGCAACAAATATGGAAAGTGAAAAGAAATCATGTTGCCTCTTTATTAACATCAGAAACAGCCTTAAAGTGTTTTAAACATTTACTTTATTTCATAAAACCACCATATGAAAAGAATTGCAAACAGAACCTTTACCAAGGTATAGGAGACTGACTACACTGTATAAATGGAATTTCAGTCACTGTGCTTAACTCTGATTTTCAGGAAGGATTTATTTTGCTGTTTTGTTGCTTCACAAATTGTGGACATGGTTGAAGTTTTATTTGTCCAGTTTCTCTTCAGTTCTGACATGAGAGAAGAAACAGGAAAAATTAAAATTCTTTTATTTAAGATCAACCGTAACACAAATTGTAAGACATTATTTCTAGGGACTTCAAATTCATTTTATTTTGTTTCCCCTTTAAGGTTGATTTGTAATTCCAGATCAGTCATCTAGTGAGAGAACCATTTTTCCTCCAGTGACAGACACTGATTAGCTACAGTTAAAAACACTGAGGACTCTGGTTAACATTCAGGGAGTGTCATGCCTTCACAGTCCCTCACGGGCAGAGCTGTCTTTGAGATATTTAAGTCAATGTTTCTGACATAGATTAAGAAACTTGAACATCTGTTAGAGATGGTATTAAAAGGGGATTTCTAAATGGGGGAAAAAGTAGAGGAAAATAATTAAAACTAGAGAATATGATGTGGACTTTTGTCCAAGATAAAAGAAGTCCAACCTTCACTTTCTTGGAGAAGCTTCAGTGAAACTCTATCCAAAAGTTGTCCAAGTGGTAAAAGTCCTGTAAGTGTGTACTGACATCTGTTGAGTGCCTGACACTCTGCCAGACAGTAGAAGCAACATTGTAAGCTAATATTTTTGTATACATAGAAAACTCTGCATGGTTTTAGTAGGAAAATAGTTATTATTCAAATGAAAACCCCAAGCATGCCTCACTACTAATTATAGTGTCCTAAAAACAGGCAAATACATTGCCTGGCTGTGTGTTTGTGAGAGAGAGTGTGTGTGTGTGTGTGTGCGCACATCCCGTATGAAATGTATTCATAAGGTGCCCTCAGAATGTACAGTTGATAGAAATAAATAATGATCTTCACTTTCAAGTGGGTGTCTGGAGAGACATGTCAAGAGAAGTTAACATTTGCAGTTAGCACCACTGGTGAAGCATGTAAGAGTGTTGGATGAATGTTGTGGAATGGATTTTGAACGATGGGTAAAATAAAGTTGGAGAATAGAAGCCACATTTTTCTGGACTGAGAAGAATACATACGAATAATGCATAAAAATCTGGTACTGTAATTTGAGAGATAATGAACAACAGCTGTAATAGGCAAGAGGACACATGGAGGTCTAGACCTGAAGAGCTTCTCCAAAACTTTCTAATGTCAAATCTATACAGTTAGATAAACAACTTCAGATTTCACAAGATTAAATAGCACAGAAATTAGTAGTTTCAAATATTGTGCAACATTGTACATTACCTGTACATAAGTGAAAAGGAGGGATTTCCCAGATATGTGAGCCAAATTTCTACAAAATATTTTCTAAAGAAAAAGATACATGAAACCACTTCTTATGTAGTAGGAACATAAGAAGGCAATACCTTGAGCTACAAAAGAAAAACCAATTTTGAAAATACAGTGTACCAAACCTGTAGCATATACACTATCTAGTTACACCATAAACTTCTAATGATAGTAACATTGATGATGGGAAAGATTTGCATTGGGGGCTGGGGAATGGGAAATGCCATTACTTTCCTCTCAACTTATCTGTAAATGTACCTGTTCTAAAAAGTAAAGTCTAATGACATTTACAAATATACATTTAAAATCAAGTCCAAAATTATAATGATTTTATTCATCTTGTAAATTGTTCAGAACATGTGTATATCACAAACACACATCCATCCATACACATTATGCTAGAGAAAATATATTCATAAATAAAAGTTCATCAGAATTTAGCTGCAGTTTTATCTTGATGGATTGTTCTTAGTGATTTTTTATACTCTAAAGTATTTTAGATGGAACTGCATTGACCATGTAACCAGAAAAAAAAACAAAATGATGACATTAATAAACAATGCCACCAACTCCATGTCTCCAATGTACTGCAAAACATAGAGCAGAAAAATCCTGGTAGCTATGTCTATGGCTGTAGGCTGAAAGAACAAAAGACATGGATGGAAAACTAAGCACAACCTTATCCTCCCACCACCACAAAATACATACACCTCTTCCTTCTTGACTCTTTTCTTAATGGGGTTTCTTCTTGAAGGCACTGTCTGCCAAGAAAGTCATGTTTCATATCACTTCAAAATCTTAATTTCATATTTATTGAAAACCATGTCCTCAAATACACATGTACTCTTTTTAGTGTATATTAATTTGTAAAACAATAGGCTGCATTTGGACACTTTCATACATGTATGTGAGGTACATGAAGGCATGCTAGAAGGCAGTTGAGTTACAGGTATTTAAGATAAATAAAAGGAAAAACATCATCAATGAGGTGATTAAATATGATTTAAGGATTCACTAATGCAGACCACCATTTACTTCTTCGGATTTGTTTTACTTCTACTAGTGGGACTTTGTGATTTTCCACAAATAAACCACGGAATTCTGTATGATGAAAAGAAATATAAGCCATCTTTCCCAGTTTCTACTGGGAAATTTTTCTACTACTCCTGTGAATATAGTTTTGTATCTCCATCGAAATTATTTTGGACTCAAATAACATGCACAGAAGAAGGATGGTCTCCAACACCAAAGTGTCTCAGTGAGTACATGCCCCAATTCTTAGAGGAGCATTGATTCAGTGAAAATAGAAGAACTACTAAGAGGGGATCACAGGGTTTCCACAGCTAAGGACACAGGGGCAATGAGGGAGCAAGCAGTTATCTTTTATGAGATGTCTTTTCTGAAAATCAATGGAGAACTGAATAAATATTTCAACTTGCAATACTGTCTGGGAGTGCTCTGCATACTGAAATATAATAATTTCCAAAAGTGCTGTTGAATATATTTAATGACTAACAGTTCTTTGCAAATATTGATTTTGTAGTCACCACATTTTTCATTTGAAAGAAAATCATTTTACATATGCATTGTTCTGAAATAACCATTCTTTCAACTATTGCATGAGAAAAGTTTTAACTTTTATATTGTCCATAAATCACTTTCAGTGAAAGTATGGAGCAGATACAGGTGATGACAGGTGTATCGAAAGAGAAAAGATTAGCCACTGAAATAGAGTCATTCTCCTCCTGTTAGAAATATTCATGAAAAATAAGAGAGAAATTGGTATTTAAGGCATTGTTTTTATTTAAAAGAATTTATAATCATAAAATATTATATAATAAAAATGATGCAACAACAGCATGAAATACTAATCTCTGTTCTAAGAAGTACTGACCAAAATTCATTTGAAACTTTTTTATATTTGAAATCAGTTTTATAAAGTTCATAGTTTTTTAAATGTTTTAAAATGCAATTGTATTTTTTTATACTATGTTGATATTGCACACTAATCATGTTTTTTTTAGGGCTGTGTTTCTTTCCTTCTGTGGAAAATGGTCATTCTGTATCTTCAGGAAAAACACACCTGGAAGGAGACATAGTACAAATTTTTTGCAATAGTGGCTACAGCCTTCAAAACAATGAGAAAACCATCTCATGTACAGAAAGGGGCTGGTCCACTCCCCCCATGTGCATTTCCACCAGTGAGTAAAGTATTGTCCTCTAGAACCTGTTATAATCTATGCTTTTAAAAAGAAACAGCATAATTCTGTTTTCAGGGTTAAATACAAGTTTTGGCACTTGCTCCTCTCATTAGACATTTGAGTTTTAGTTCCACTTATGTGTAAGTGGATGTGAAAATAACATAGCTTTCTATCTATGTTAATTTAAATGCATGTTCTTAATAGAAGTACTATATGAGATTGTATTTTGAGGCCAGTCTCATGTTTAAATCACACCCATTTATCATCTATATTACCAAATTACTTGGCAATAAACGATGATAAAACTAAAATATTAAAGTGAAAAAAGTCCAATTCTTTTTAAAAAGTCTGAAAGTTGTTAATATTTTCAGTTAGCTGTGGGCATGTGGGTTTATGACTGGAATATCTAATTTGTCCTATTGGTTCTATGTCATATTTTATGCCAGTCCATGCTGGTTGGTTATTATGACTTGGTAGCAAGTGGTGGAATCAAGTATTCTGACATTTTTCAGGTTCATTTCTTTAGTTCAAAACTACCTTGGCTATTTGTTGTGGTTCTATATAAGTTTCAGGATTCTTATCTTGAAATGGCGTTCTTGGCATTGGCGTGTAGACAGGGATGTCACTGAGTCTGTGAATTATGTTGGATAGCATGGCCATTTTCCAATAGAATTCTTCCAACCCATGAACATGTGAGATCTTCTTCAATTTTGTAATTATGTTTTGTAATTTCCACCATGGAGGTCTTTCATTTCCATGTTTATATTTAATTACTATATATTTTATTCTTGTGTTTGTGAATGGAAATATGTTCTTAATTGCTCCCTCAGCAAGTTCGCTGTTGATGTGTAAAATGGTGCTGATGTTTGTGTGTTGATTCTGCATCTTGAACTTTACTGAGTTTTTTTTATCAGTTCTAATACTCTTTTGGGGTAGAGACTTTAGTTTTTCTATGCACAGAATCAAAGCATGTCTAAGCAGGTAATTTGGCTTCCTTCCTTCCTATTTTCATGTCTTTTATTTCTTTCTCTTACCTAATGCTCTGTTTAAAGCTTCCAGTACTACATTGAATAAAAGCAATGAGAGTGGACATCTTTGCTTTGTTTCAGATCTTAGAAGAAACGTTTTCAGCTTTCAGTATGATGCTGGATGTGAACTTGTCACACATAACTTTAATATGTTGAGTTATGATCCTTTTATGCCTTGTGTGTTCTGGATTTTTATGATGCTAAATAATGTCAAATGCTTTTCGTGCATCTATTGAATTGGTCATGAGATGTTGTCCCTCATTCTGCTGAAGTGATGCATTATGTTTATTGATGTTCATGTGTTGAACATTCTTGCATCATGGAAATTATCTTTTAAAGGCTCTTTTGGACTTCATTTGCATTTGTTGATAATTTTTGCAACCATGTTCATTGGGGATATTGGCCTAAAGATTTCTTTTCTGCTGTATCTTTTTGATATCAGGATAATGCTGGCTTCACTGAATGCATTTGGAAGGCTCCCCTCACTGTCCACCTTTGAAACACTTTGGAAAGAACTAATGTTAGTTCTTCATTGAATGTTTGGCAGAATTAAGTAATGAAGTCACCTGGTAGTGATATTTTCTTTGACAGATAATTTTTATTACTCATTCAGTCTCACTGTTTGATATTTGTCTATTGGTGTTTCTTTTTGTCCTTTCGGTTCAAGTCTGGTAGGTCATATGTGTTCAGAAACTTACTCATTTCTTACACATTTTCCAATTTTCAGCATATAGTTGGTTGTTATAGCTCCTGATAATCTTTTGTATTTCTGTGATGTCAGTTTTAATGTTTCCTTTTTCATATCTGATTTTATTTGGGTCTTGTCTCATTTTTTCTTGGTTATATCATTTTGTTTATGTTTTCAAATTACTAATTCTTCTTTCTACTTTTTTATATAGCTTTCTTGTAATCTCTACTTCGTTTTTGTTTTTTTGGCTCTGATCTTTGCTATTTATTTTCTTCCACTATTTTTTTTTGTTATTACCTTTTTAGGTCTTTGAAGATGCATGGTTGATTTATTTATTTGAAAACTTTCTTTTCCATGTTAGTGCCTGTCACTATAATCTTTTCCATGTTAGTGCCTGTCACTATAATCTTTTCCATGTTGGTCCAGCCTATTGGCACTACTTTTGCTGTCTCTTATAGACTTTAGTATGTTGTGTTTCTACTTCATTCATTTTGAGAATTTTTAATTTTCACTCTTCATTTCTTCAAAGATACACTGTTGATTAACAATGTGTTGTTCAGCCTCCTGTATTTGTATAATTTCTAAAGTTTCTTTCATTGTGACTTCTACTTTTGTTCAGGAAAGATACAGGATTTCATTATTTTGAATCTGTTAAGACTTGATTTGTGGACTAAAATATGGCCTTTCTAGAGAATGCTTCATGTTGTGATAAAAATGTGTGTTCTGCAGCTATTGAATAAATTATGCTGTAAATATCTTTATATCCGTTCAGTTATAGTATTGGTTAAGCATATTTCCTTTTGAATTTTTCTCTGTTCATTGATGAAAGTGGATGTTGAAGTCCCATGCTGTTATTGTATTGCAGCCTTGCTTTATGAAATTGGGTTCTATAGCATTAGGAGTCTGTATATTTACAATTGTTGACTCTTCTTCTTGATTTGATCTCTTCATAATTTTATAGTGACATTCTTTGTCTCTTCTTAGTTTTTGTCTATAAATCTATTTTGTCAGACATATCTTCATCCTTGCTCTTAGTTTCCATTTGAATGAAACAGCTTTTTCTGTCCTTTCACTTGGAGGATGTGGGAAATGAGTTTCTTGTAAGCATCATATTATTGGATCCTGTGTTTTTTGATTCAGTGAGTATGTATATTTTAATTGGGGGATTTCTTCCATTACATTCAAGGTTATTGACAAGCAAAGACTTGCTTCTATCATTTCATAATTTTCTTCTATTTGTTTTGACCATCCTTTGTTCTTTTCTTCTGTTGGCTTCAGGGGAAAGTGTGTTTGCTTATCTTGTCCAGCTGCAAGATGCTATTCGCTTCCCTTAGCTTGGGTTCTATGTCTGTACCTTCACAGATCTTTAACTTTATCCTGAACAACTGTTAATTCTCTTGCCATATAAAGTAATATTTACAGGTTCTGGAGACTAGAGCATGGATATCTTAGGGAACTACCTACCACAGTCATGAACAGTAAAAATAGCAATCATTAATTCACAGAATTTCACTGCTGTATTTAACAATTAAAGGAGTAGACTGGCTTCTTGAATAAATTCCTTTCACCTCAGATAAACTATGCATGGATTTCTTTCCCTATCCTCACTACCTTGTTCCTATACCACATGTTCCAAACCTCAAGAGCCAGTTCCTTTGCTATTTATCATTTACTATTTGGTTATTCATTTATAAATTCAGTGCCATTGTGGTCTCATAAAGGACTTGGCCAAAGACCACCCAAGTTAAATTAATTCTCTGTTTATTGTAAAGTCCAAGTCAGTGTCAAAATTTAATGAAGGAGTCTGCTTTATTATAAACCACACACATACATATCGTCCTTTGTAAGAAACTATTAGGTTACTAAGTCAAATCTCTCTTGGACACGCCATAACTCTGCCAAGGGTTCATTGATCTTGTTTATGAAGGATTTATTATTTTCCTTGTACAAAAGAAATTTTATACATTTTACATAGGTTCCCAAAATATTTTCTTTAGAAAATTCACATCTAGTTTATTTGTAATGTCCTAAAAATTTTATTGCAACTCTTAAGTTGTAGTTTTCCTAGCAGAGAACTAAGTTTTTTCTTTCTTTCTTTCTTTTCTTGGTGTGTTTTTGGTGGGAAATATATACAAATGCTATTTTCCATGTGTTTTTTCCAGAAAAATGCTTAAAATTAGATATTGTAATTGTCAATGGGTTTTTGTCTGAAGTGGAACACACTTATCCTTTAAATAAAGAAACACAATATAAGTGCAAGCCAGGATATGTGACAGCAGATGGAAAGACATCAGGCCTAGTCAAATGTTTGGAAGACGGATGGTCTATTCAGCCAATCTGTATTAGTAAGTGGCTATATTTTTATGCTTTTTCTGAACATAATAGCACAAAATTTATTTTAATTATTATTTTACCTTATAGGTTTACATGGTTACATATAAAATAAAACCTATCAAAATAATATAAATACTTCTATGTCAAATTGTTCTAACTTTTTCAGCTGTGTCATTCTACCAGTTCAAAGAGCTAACTTCTCCTCTTAAGTCCATTTTTTTCCTGAAAAAAAATGTCATTATTAAAAAAGGGAAGGCAGAAAGGAGGGGAAAGAAGCTAATTAGAAATTTTTAAAGGTCTCCATGTACAACTTTATTTATGAATAAAATATTTTTGCACTTCTCTTACAGTATTTTCTAATTATCTATGTCCTATAGTTGATTTCTTATTGCTTTCAGTAAAAGTCATGTGTATTGTGAATAAGCTGTATCCATAGTGCAGTTTTCAAGGGATCAGTTATTATAAAATTTTTATAATACACAATTTGATGCTGCAGAGAAGAACCACATCTGGAAATTCTTGTCATTTGTGAATATTTGAAAGATACAGGTGAAATGGTGGACTGTGGTTCCAGGAAATGGTAGGTAACAACTGATTTCTGACTTTTAAAATTCTTCTCAGAAAAATTGAGTTAAAAGTCATGGAGTAAAGCTCTAACTTGAGTAAATGTTAAAGTTATTTAGAAAAATTTATTTTCCCATTTCTTAATGAATGCTTTCTAAAATTGATATATAGTTGTTATTTCAGTATTTTTTTATCCCCATGGGCTTTTAGTAAAGAAGAGGTATAAAGTCTTTTCTCATAATATCCTCAGTTTATGGAGTTCTGAAAACACGAGTGAATTCTTCACTTGTACTAAAATTATGATAATCTATCACAAGCTATAAAAGAGAGTCTTCATGTTAATTTATGTAAGTAAATATACTTCTCTCTGGTATTTATTGGATTAC